TGAGAGAGAGAGTGGGGAGGGGAGGGGCAGAGGGAGGGGGGCGCAGAGAGAATCCTAAGCAGGCTCCACGTCCAGCATGGAGCCCGACGTAGGGCTTGATCTCATGACCCTGAGATCATGACCTGAGCCAAAATCAAGAGTTGGATGCTTAACTGACTGAGCCACCCAGGCACCCCAAGTTGACACATGTTGTAGTATCAGAATCTCAAACCTGGGTTTCATAAATTTAGAATGTATAAGATCCTGAAAGAATCTTAGATTGAGGGCCAGATTACCAGGTTCTTGGCAACACATAGCAGAGGCAGAATGTCTGATGGGGAGGGTAATAGTTTTAACAGAAAAAGAAAAACTATGTTTTTCACCCTTTCATTAGTGTCAAGAGGGAGTGGGTCCTTTTCTTCCCCACCAGAAAAAAATCTTGGGATCCATCCCTCCTCATGAGTCCAGGATTTTCCCTGATGGCAGTCTCTGCTCTGGGGATCTGGGGAGGGGCTGTCCTCACCGCCAAGCTGGATGTCCATGATTGCCAGCAGAATGGCCAGGGCCAAGCAACCTCTGCCAGGTGCCATCAGCGTCCTGCACGTTGTCAGCAGCCGCAGGAACTTGAAGCAAATGTTGGCTCCAATGATGTCCTTGGCCTCACTTTCCTGAAAGCACATGAGGACTCCTAGACAAGGCCTCCCAGGGCTCCAAGACCATCTCCATGTTCCAGGCACTAGCTTAAGTTGGCTAGAGTCAGGTGGGGGAAGGCTTGGGCCTGAGAGTCCAGCTGGCTGGGAAGTGAGACAGTTAGTCAAGTGAGGTGTACTGGAGAGAAGAGAGGAGAAAAGAGGGAAGAGACAGAGAGAGACACTAAAGGCTATATTTGCAGAATATTTTTTTCTAAATTAAGCTGTATTACTGGGTCAAAGAATATGAACACACATTTTTTTCTACTATGTATTATCAGATTGCTTTCCAGAAATATGGTTGAGATTCGGATATTCAGCAAGAATGTGCTTGTCAGCACTGAATAGTCTTTTACATTTTTGCCAATTTGATGAATGAAAAATTAGATCTCACTGTTGTTTTATTTTGCATTTCCATGACTAGTGAGGGTGAGGATCTCTTCATACATTTATTGGTCATTCGTATTTCCTCTTCTATGAATTGCCTGTTCATATTCTTTGCATTTTTTTCCCAAGTCAACTTTCTAAAAAATCAGTTTTTCTCTATATTAGAGAGTTACCCTGACTTTTTTTCTTTTTTTCACAAATATTTTCTCCCAATTCATTGTTTGTCTCTTGAAATCATGTTTCTTTCCATCAGGAAAATTCACATCTGTATTGTAGTTAAATACAGTGCATCTATCTTTTAAGTCATCTGTAGTACTCTGTATTGTTTAAGAAAGTTTCCCTCAGGCTAGAGTTACACTTTTTCCCAACATTTTATTGTTTTACCTTTTTATGTTTATATCTTCTAATCCTAGCTGAGAAAAATTGTTCTCATGTCAAAAAACCCAAACTGAACCCAAAGCAAAACCAAGATAACACCTGAATTTTCATCAGTTGGAAATGGTTGAATAAATTTTGACTCATTCATACATTAGAATATTATATATTATTAAAAAGAATGAGTTCTCTAAATATGAGCCTGAAGGGGGATCAATAATATACCATTATGTCAAAAAAGGCAAATTGCAGGGCTATGCATATAAAATAAATATTTTTATTTTTTTTAAAATCCTCTCTCTTGGGCGCCTGCCTTCGGCTCAGGTCATGATCCCGGAATCCCGGGATCGAGTCCCGCATCGGGCTCCGTGCTCGGCGGGGAGTCTGCTTCTCCCTCTAACCCTACCCCCTCTTGCGCTCTCTCTCTCACTCTCTCTCTCTCTCTCAAATAAATAAATTAAAAAAAAAATCTTTAAAATCCTCTCTCTTTATATAAATGTTTTAAAAATATATTTAAACACTTTTGTAGTTTATAACTGTTTGGATAGGTAATTACATTCACAGAGTTCAAAGGTCAAAGGTGTACAGTTAAAACTTTCCTTCCTGCTCCCACCCCCAGTGATCTCTTGCCCCTTCCCAGAGTCAACCAATGTTGCCTTATTGTGGATGCTTCTAGAGATAGATTCTATGCATATTTAAGAGGTTCCATATTTTCCCTTTTATAAAAAACATCAATAACAACAATGAAGGATAGTATACAGTACACTCTGTTCTACATTTTGCTTTTTTCACTTACCAGTGTGTCCTGTGGAGACCATTCCATATCAGTACATAAACAGCTTTCCCTCTTTAAAAATTGCTGCACAGTAATCATAGTTATGTGAATTTATTCTCATAGATTCCTACCAGTGAGGATTTTGATTATTTCTGATCTTTTTATTGAAGTATAATTGACATACATGATATGAGTTTCAGTTGTACAAGTCATGATTTGACACTTGTATACGCTATGAAATGATCACCACAGGAGGTCTAGTCACCTTCATCACCATGAAAATTTACCCCCCAATTTTTTTCTTTTGATGAGAACTTTCAAGATTCACTCTGCTGGCAACCTTCAAATGCACACTACAGTACCATTCACTGTAGTCACCATGCTGCACACCACATCCCCATGACCTGTTCATTTCACAGCTGGAAGTCTGTACCTCCAGACCCTCTTCACCCATTTCCCCCACCCCTCAGGCTCCTCTCCTCTGGCAACCACCATTCTGTTCTTTGTATCCATGAGTTAAGTGGAAAATATTAAAAGTGGTGAACTTTTGGGGGGAAGGGCAGTTCCTATGGGTTGGGAGGCAGATGAATGTAAGGAGGCTTTTTTTTTCTCATTGCATACTCTTTCGCCTGATAAATTTTATCTTATGAATGTATTACTTTTTTAAAAAGTATTTTTATTTTTGCGAGAGAGAGAGAGAGAGAATGAGCAGGAGGGAGGGGCAGAGAGAGAAGCAGGCTCCCAGGGAGCCTGATGCGGGGCTCAATCCCAGGACCCTGGGATCATGACCTGAGCCGAAGGCAGACGCTTAACCAACTGAGCCACCCAGGCGCCCCTAAATTTGTCACAATCCTAATGAAATCTCCCAGTGGGTCTGGCCACCTGTGCTGCTGCCCTAGCCTTGACCTCATGTTCCCTCTCCTATGTGTTGTCCTACTCTCTTTTTTTTTGTTTTTTAAGATTTTATTTATTTATTTGACAGAGAGAGACACAGTGAGAGCAGGAACACAAGCAAAGGGAGTGGGAGAGGGAGAAGCAGGCTTCCCGCAGAGCAGGGAGCCCGATGTGGGACTCAATCCCAGGACTCTGGGATCATGACCTGAGCTGAAGCCAGACGCTTAACGACTGAGCCACCCAGGAGCCCTGTGTTGTCCTACTTTCATGCTGTTCCATGTCTCCACCAGAAAGTCCTGCTGAGTCTTGAAACAAAACATTGAACTTTCAGTGACATGCTTTTGTGTCTAGCTACAAAGTATTATCTTTGAAAAGGAAGATAAAGAAATGAAATCTTGCCATTTGCAACAACATGGATAGAAATGGAGGGCATTATGTTAAGCAAAATAAGTCAATCAGAGAAAGACAACTATCTTATGATCTCACTCATGTGGAATTCAAGAAACAAAACAGAGGATCATAGGAAAGGGAAGGAAAAATAAAACAAGATGAAATCAGAGAAGAAGACAAACCATAAGAGACTCTTAATCATAGGAAACAAACTGAGGGTTGCTGGAGGGAGGTGAGTGGGGGGATGGGGTAACAGGGTGATGGGCATTAAGGAGGACACGTGATATAATGAGCCCCGGGTATTATATTAGACTGATGAATCACTGACCTCTACCTCTGAAACTAATAATACACTATATGCTAATTAATTGAATTTAACTAAAAAAGGTAAACTCAAAAAGGAAGATAAAGAAGAATTGCAATTATTCATTTAGCCTAGGTTTGTGCTTAAAAGCATAGACTCTGGAGCCAGACTGCTTGTATCTCAAAACTTACTAGTTGTGTGACAGGCAAGTTTCTTAGGCTCCTGGGACAGGAACAATGCTCAGCCCTTAATAAATGGATATATTTGACAAAGACTGAACAACTATGATGTGTCAGGCACCATAGAGCACAGAGAGGTGACTAAAACAGAGGCCGACTCTCTCAGTGATTCTATGCAGCCTCTAGTCAGAAGGACTGGTCTGTAATCTGGCTTTGGCACTAACTAGCTGCATAATGTTGGGCAAGTTTCTGACCCTCTCTGAAAAGCAGCTTACTGAGCTGTAAAGTGGTGATAATATTCTCTTCCCAGGGTTGTTCTTTGGGTTAAAGAGGCAACCCATGTAAACTACTACACAGTTGAATGCCAGTATAGTGGCTGGCATAGAGTAAGGGCTCAGTAAGTGTTAGCCATGACTAGTTTTATGCTTCCTCATATTTGCGGCAATTTACATCCCAAACACATCCACATCCACAATTGTGTTTAGTTCTTATAAAGCGCAGCTATTCTAGTTATTTAAAAATTTGTCACTTTTACTAAGCGTATGGAAGCTTAGAGAGGCATGTGAGTAGCTTAAAATCACAGCTTCTAAGTGAAGGAGCTAGGATTGTAACTCCCAAGTTATGCAGGTCTGTCATGTCCTTTGTGCCTCTTCTCACAGCTCTCCAGCCATTCAGGAACAGCTGCAATCCAAGGAGGGCTGTGCTAACAGTAATAAGTTCATAAAGTATACCAAGGAATAGGAAAGGAGAAATTCTGAATGAGAGGTCTGGAAAGGCTGCAGGACGGGAGTGCGGTTGGGTCTTGACAGATGTTTGCTGACTATGTGGTGAGGTAAGGTGGGGAATGGGCTGGGGAGATTTGTCTTCCAGCCCCGGCTGTGCATTAGCTAGCTGTAGGATGTTGAGAAGGTCATGTCCCTTCTCTAGGCGTGTTCCCTGAGGGACTGGTGCAGCGGGATGGGAGGGAGCAGGGGAGGGATTGCTTCCAAGCAAAGAGCTGCAGAGTGGCGGGCAGGCTCACAGGCGCTGATGCAAGTGGCCGGGCTTCGTGGTGCCTAGGGCCGAGCTGGAGCAAAGCGTGTAAGTTTATCGTGGGCCATACAGGAGGCCTGGGGCAGGTGGGGGCCCTGGGGAACGGATGCTCTTGGAGTAGGTGACCTTGGTGCCTGGAGGAAGACGCACCCCAGTGTGATGCAGGCAGGGCTTGGTGGAGCAGGCACAGCCGCTTCTGCATTATGACCACTAGAGGGCGCTGCCTTCTAGTTGAAGCCGGAGATGGCCGGTGAGCCGCGGGGGCGCGGGGTAGGGCGTGCGGGCTAGCTGGGGAAAACCTGAACTAGTACTGGAGGTGTGGGCGGTGCAAGATCCGGTCTGGTGGGTCCCGAGGACGTAGTTTGTACTAGAGGCGCAACTGGCCCTCCATAGAAGGAAGAGGTGTTGGGGAGGGAAGTGGGGGGACTTTCTGGGTCCATGAGTTAGAGACAGGTCTCCTCTTCCTCATAAAACGTGGCGAGCCCCGGAGTCGGCAAGGATGAAGGTCCAGCTTAGGTTGGCATCGTCACCTCTCAGCCTTCCCCGGGGCCCCTGAACTATGTTGGGTGCCCAGGAACCTATGGACTCTGAGGATGTGCCTCTGGAGGTAAACGCCCGCCATCTCCCCGACCTTATAAAGCGGGAGGCACCTGGA